AAGAATCCAAATCCTCACATCTGCACATCAGCAAGCGAGTAGTTCAATTCAATGGTGAATGTCACCTCACTACTCAAGACTCTGGCTGGCTTTGAAGGTACATGCAGGCACTGTAACAGCCTCTAGCATGAATACTTCTGAAAGATCTGCCATTCTTGCCACGTTCAGAGATCAGATGCTATAGTTAGAATCACCAAGCCAAATGAAGGATGATGATCTTGCTTAGTTAAAGAAGTATGGTGATTCTAAAACGTCCCTTAAGTCGAAATCTCCCCGTTCAGGCAAGGGCGGGAATGATAATGTTGGAAAAGACCTCTGGAAGCTCTCCAGTAACTGTTCAAATAGTAAATAGGTTAGAGGGAGAGGGGGCGAGAGAGAGAGAGATAAGGGATATATAACTTCCAGTCCCTAAACTACAGAAATAACTCCATCCTTACAGTTTATTGAGTTGAGAGATTGTAGAGCTTGAGTTGTACTGAATCAAAAAGCTATTAAGGGTTGGGTTGTTCCAAGTCAAGAAACTATAAAGACTGAAGTGTTCCAAATCAAAGTACAGGGAATGAATTGATAATTGAGAAAAAGGTTTTGGAACTAAAAGTTATATTTTCCCTAGAAACAATTTTGAAACACCAAGACAGTGACACAAGTTTGAAAGTTGATGCAAATAAAACAAAAAAGACCTGCTGCCAATGCGTGTTCCCTTGGGCCAATTTAGCTTTAATATGTTAAATTGGGGCTCAAATTCATTGCCTAATGGACCATGGCAGTTTCAAAACGTGAATGAACATTATTCAAGCCCAAATGGTTGCTCAAGTAACTCGTGCGTGCGTATGGACGTGAATAGTGATATAAACATCCATTTAGAAGTTCCATTCCATAAAGAAGGGTGTGTTACAAATCTAAATTCAAGAAGAGCCAAGTCCAAGAAGTGCAGACTGTAGCCCAATGCAAGAAAGGTTATAAGTGGAGCCTGTTACACGCAAGGAGGCATGGAACTCTCGTGAAGAGATTAAGGGTGGTGTGATTTTGAGTCATTTATGATCTCTTAATTATCTCATTAATTATTTTCTAATTTAGTGTTCCTTTGACTTAACTCCCTTTCTTAAGGAGCAATATTAGTCATAATTTTCTATTTTGAGGCTAATCAAAGATTAGAATTAATATATTATGTTTTAAGTTTTGTAATCTTATAATTTTAGATGACATCTCCTAAATTATGTGTCTAAATTTTTTTTCTTTATTTTATATTATTTTATTCTTCTTTTAGTATTAGAAAATTATAGTTTTAATTTTAGAAAATAGTTTTTTTTGTGAGCCAATATATAAATATTAGGCGTACTCCCTCTTGGAAAAAGAAAAGAAATTTTAGAGTTTATAACTATTATGAGTCTTAATGATTTGTCGTGACATCCCGTGTGAAAAATAGATGTGATCAAAACGTGATCAACTCTTGTAGTGTCTCCAAAAATTAAAGTTCCTAGAGATAGGTACTCTAGAGGATCTTCTTCTTATCATTATTTCATTATTTATTTTATTTATTTTTTATTTTCATCATAAATTTCGTCCCTTTCTTGTTTTTTTGTTGTGTTTCAGGATTTTTATTTATAAATTAACATGATTCTTCTTCCGCATCCTCTATCACCAGCTCTCCCATGAAACCCAACAACGACACTATCTGCTATGGGGAAAGACAGAGGCTTGCCACCAGAAGTTGTTCCAAAAGGTAAGTAATTGGAAGTATTCAATTAATCTTTCAACAAAGACATAATTGAAATATGTGCTTAGAGATCGGACCAGTGCGATGTTATCTCTTTGGCATGTAACTAATTATTACATCGGCCATATTTAGAGAAATCTCCTACCAACACGAATATACTTTAGCAGAAGGTGCTGCTACTCCTCACAGTAACGTGATTAATTTAAATACTCTCTTCCTAACTTATAAATACTACTAAAGGAATATAGACTTAAAAGAGGATGACAAGATGTACATCTTTTTCTTTGGAAGAAACCCTACCTCTTGAATATATATATTTTTTAAAAAAAATTAAAAAATATGAGGTAGCGTCTTCTCAGAGCAAAAGCGAACACACACTTAGTAGCATTTGCTATGATAATTGTTACTAAATGTGTGCTCCTAAATTTCATTTATGTAACAGTGCATGCATTGTGTAATCGGAGAAAAATAACAGGAGAATGTCAATCAACGCCCAGGGGAAGCAACAGTCTATTAATTTGTATATCAGTGCTAAACATCAAAGTCAAATATAGATATTTTATATATTTTAATTGAATTATACTATTTTAATCGTAATTAACCTAACATCGATTTTATCCCTGACCATTAAACTATACTTTTTTTTTTTTGGGCCAAAGGGACCATTAAACTATACTACATCCACCGGTTTAATAAACGTGCATAACTTTAGATAATAAGCATTAATTCGACTGACTGGAAACCGAGTGAGGAAGACAAAACCAAATCAAAGTAATCTAGATAATTAAAAAAAAACGTGTATTATAATTTTTTTTTAAATATAACTTCTAAGATCAAATAGACTACAGTATGAGTGTGACTTTTTAACTTTAATACATGTATCCGTAAATCTTTCAGACTCGAACATTAAGCTACTAATAATTGTGAATTTTACAAGAGTCGACTCTCCCCTATGGTAAGGGGATTCTTTTTTTTTTTTTTTCAAGAAATGTTTTTAGTCCAAGATATGAGGTATTGAATAGTTGTTATAATTTTTTCAGTTATAACTTTACCTCATCTATTATTTCTTTTTGAAAATAATCTCTTAAAATTTCAATTGTCATCATTATTAAAACATTGTTATAGGACATTTAATTAGGGTATAATTGAAAATATGTATATAATTTTTTAAAAAATTAATATTTCAAACAATTTTTTTAAAAAATGTGAAGTAGTTATCAATATTTAATATTATTATATATCAGAGAGAAAATAATAATAAGTGCTCATCATAGGATAAGGACTAAAGCTAAAGTATGAAATGGACGGTATGCATGCACTGTATACCGTTCGCTTAGAATGCAAAAAAAAAAAAAAAAAACAAAAAAACAAAAAAACAAAAACAAAATCTATCCTATCTGTTAGGGCTAAAACCTTGGAATATAATTAACTTGAGGTTTTGAGCCTAAAAGTTGTGTTGAATTTGGTCTATCATATGGGTATGAAAATTTTTAAAATTTATAAATAGATATGCAGCAATTTTATTGTGTTAATGATCAGTGCTAAAAAAAAATCATAGTCAAGTATAAATATTTTTATATTTTAGTTAAATTACATTATTTTAATTATGACTAATCAGATGTTAATCTTATCCCTAATCATTAAGGGAAAATGACAACCTTGCATTATTGAAATCCTATTACCGGAACATGGTCCTTGCTTGCAATTAAACATATATATGAGTTTACAAAATTGCCCTTATAAGCAAATGCGAAAAATGGCTGATCAAACATTGATGTTAGTTGTGAAATTTTGAAAAACCACTTAGGACTTGTGGGAGAGTCGGTTGTGAATATACAATAGTCAATTATGATCCCAAATTAATTACTTATAATTTTTGTATTTATTAATATATAAACAAACTACATGCAAAATTAAGAGAAGCAACTTGTGATTCTTAAAAAAGTAAGTTGGAAATATTCTGGAGTTAATTGTGAATCCAAGGACCAACATATGAATTTTGAGTCAGTTGGTACATATACTCACTTGTGGAATCTTGAAAAGCCACTTTGGGATTCAATGGATAGTTGGATATGAATATTCAACAGTTAATTGTGAATCTCAAAACAACCGTTTGTGAATTTTTGTTCTCAAAATTTAGTCAAACCCATTTGAGAAATTAAAGAAAACAACTTGTGATTTTGAGGGGAAAAAAAAAAGTTGAGAATTAAGAAAATGACATTCAAGGACCTTTAAAGAATGTTTTTTGCAGACAAGGACCAATAACAAGTCACCGTTTAAAGAAAAACAAATTCATGTTTCATTTTAACAACTAACAATTTATTTTTTATTAATCCTTATATGTGAATAATATTTTTGTTAAGTCCTTGGATATGATTTTTTCTTGAAAATTTAAGGGAATCAATTTTGAATTTTAATACTAACATGTGGATATTTGATCAATCAGTACATGTACTCACCTAATAAAATTTTGAAAAGCTACTTGGGATTTGATGAAAAGTTAATTATGAATATACAGCAGTTAGTTGTAAATCTCAAGATAATCAGTTGTATATTTTACGTTATTTTTAATATTCAAACTACTTGACAAATAAATCCTCTTAAAATTTTTCACACAGTTTTGTTGATTATTTAATAGATCTTTGAAAAAATAACAACAAAATCCTTTTAAAATATATAAATAAAAATTTGGTCTCTTAAAATGTTATAATTTCTCTGAAATCTCTAGGAGTTTTTCTATCATTAATGAATTTATATAAATTAACAAATTGCCCTAGTTAAAAATAAATGATTCATAATTTTTATTTTTATATTCATAACTTTTCTTCTCAAATTCGCAACAATACAATAGTTAATAAGAAATTTAACATGAGATGTTGTGATGTGCTATTGTATTGTTGTGAATTTATGAAAAAAAGTTGTGAATATAAAAAAAAATTTATCAATTATTTATTTTTAATAAGAGCAGTTTTATAATTTATATAGATTCATTAATTACAGAAAAACTCCTAAAAATTTTATAAAAATTATTATATTTTAAATGATTAAATTGTCATTTATATATTCAGAGGGATTTTGTTGTGATTTTGCCAGATCTTTCCTTTCATTCAAAAATTGACAAATGACAAAATAGTACCACAAATGAGACAATTGTTCAGGAATCTCTAAGGACTTATCAGCACGTGTGGACATGATAATGATCGATGCTGATTATAACCGCAAACTTGCTGATTCTATCCTATGCGCGCGGACGTCATTCCAAAGGTATATTTGAAGCATCAAATCAGAGAACATCCGAGTGGATATAGATCGGAGTCTCTTTATTCCTCTAAAAGCAGCAGTAGTACATTTATTCCGCTAAAGTCGCGACAACATGGATACAGATCCAATAAAACCCTTGAAAACAAGAGCAATTATTAAAAACCCTTGAAAGCAACCGTACGTGACAACTAAAAAAGCACTCGCACACCGACACATCATAGCAGTAAATATTGCAAGGGGCATTCGTATAAATCATAAATTAGATGGCATTTTCAGGTTTGACGAAGATGCCGATGGCATCAAGGTAGTCACCAGCCTTTCCATGAAATCCAACGATCGTATTATTGCTTATAGGGATGGAGAAAGAAGTGCCTGAACTGCTTCCAAAAGGACCATATGTGGCTAGATTTGTAGTGAATGACAGCGACGTGATCGTTTGCAGCCTTGCAAATGCTCCATAAGTCCCACTTATGGATATCAGGTGCTCAGAAGGCCAGTTAATTTGAAGCTGCAGCAAATCATCATGCATATAAATTAAACCAAAATATATACAAGTGCTCAATTAACAAAGTTTTTTTCCCGTAAACAGAACAAGTCTTACAGTTTTCCTTTCACCAAGATCATTGGGATTGTTGCCGCCAAATGTTGCAGAGGCAATACCAGTTGTGTCTTGGAATGATATGGACTTGATGTTTGACCCGACATTGATGACTATCTGGTTTATGCCTTCATTTGTTGCATAACTCCAAGGACTCCCACCTGAGCCTCCCCATGGACCTATTGAAATGCTTTCTTCTATGTCATCCCACTGCATCATCATCATCATCATCATCATCATCATTTCCACTTATTTGCCATAGTAAAATTATATATTTCCTATTAATATATATTATAGGAAAAAATGTTTACCGGTTTGGCATGGATGCCAATTGCATCAAGGAAATCGCCTGCTCTTCCATAGAATCCATTAACAAGAGAACCTTGTATTGGTAAGGAGAAAGAAGTCCCAGTGGAGGCCCCAAAAGGTCCGTGCGTGGTTAGATTGGTTGTGAATGATAATGATGTGATCACATTGAGTCCAACGTAATTTCCATATGTCCCGCTGATTGATGTCAGATACTCTGAAAGTCCGTTAATCTCAATCTACACATTAATTAGCAAGTCAAAATTGCATCATGGAACATAAATATACGTAGGCATAGTAAATTTTGGGTTGACCAAATAAGGATGATCTATATATTTGCAAGAAATGATTCATTTGATTTCCTATCCTGTGCATGCATGCCATGCATCAAATTGGAACTAGTAATATGGGCAGGCAGAGCTCATTAGAACCAGGTTAGAAATCAAGATTAAAATAGATTTTAAATATTATTTTAAGATATTTTATAGATTAAATATAATAAAATATAACAATATTAAACTAAAACTTAAACTATCTATAATAATATGTTCAAATATATGATTCCTCAATATAAATTAAACTAAAACTTAAAGAATTAATTAATATTTATTATTTTTAAATATATTTTTAAAAAATTTAATTGTTATTTGGGTATTATCACAAAGCCCAAATTTAATTGGCTTAGTCCAAATTTTTTGAAAGATATTCCAGTTGGCTCGAACAATAGAATTACGTTATTTTACTAAGCCCAACCTTAAATTTCTAAGTTTATTTGGATTGATCAGAATTACCAGCCTTGCATAAAATAAATTCCCGACTTACTTTTTTTTCATCGCTAGTTCCATCTGTATCCTTGCCACCAAATTTTCCATACTTGTGCCCATTGGCGTCGGTAAAAGCGATGGACTTGATATTGGTTTTTGGTGCATCAACAATGATCTCTTTTATCCAACTTCCCACTCTAAAATCAAATGCTTTTCCACCTGAGCCACCCCAAGGCCCAAATGAAATGCTTCCAGATGCATCCGCTTGTACCTAAACCAAAACCAACTGTCATATATATATATATATATATATGTAGTCTATGCTTCTAAGAAGAATCAAATTAAATGTAATACATATACATGATATCCATTATATATTTCATATGAGGAAAATGACAATTAAATGTCAGGAGATAAAATTAATGATAAATAACTTCTTGATAAAAATTTTTTCAAAATAAATTGTAAATATCGATTTAAATAATTGTAAATTCTACAGTCTCAATTATAAAAAAAAAGACATATAAATTGTAATTGATGATATTCATATTTGCAACTTTTTAAATTAATATTTGTAATTCATATTCAATAACTAATTAATATTTGCAGCTTATATGTAGTCATCAATCCTTTGTGACTTTGATGTCATTCTCCCTTATATATATATATATGTATGTATATATTCTTTCCTGTTAAAAATATAAGCTTTAAACAATCATATCAAAACTAATAAAAATGTTATTTTCATGAAAATATATATTATTTTTTCCTTTCTCCATTAGTTCCAATATATGATAAGTGAGAAAAATATCATAAATTCACAAATACAAGTATCTAGGTTATTACACACAAGGGATAAAGTAAAAAAAAAAATTCTTTTACAGAATAAGTTGCTCATATTTTCAATCAAGATTATGTGAAAAAAATGCTTACATTTTAGACTGGAAGAGGGAGTATATGTATGAATGTAAAAACAGTGAGGTAAGAAAAAAAAAATTACTTACCGGTTGCACAAAAATGCCAATTGCATCCAGGAAAAAACCAGCTCTCCCATGGAACCCAACAATGACACTATCTGCTATTGGGATAGAGAAAGGCTCGCCACCAGCAGTTGTTCCAAAAGGTCCATAAGTGGTCAGATTTGTGATCAACGATAGGGACCTAATTACTAGATTTCCAGTGTGATTTCCATAGGTCCCGCGTATGGATTTCAAATATTCTGAAGGCCAACGAATTTCAGTCTACAATTACATCATAATAAGGTAAGTAATTAAAATGACAATTGTAATTGAATATATTCAATCAATTAATTAAGCAATTAAGTGATCACCTTCCTCTCTTGACCCCCAGCACTGCCGAATTTTCCAGAAACATAACCATTGGCGTCTTTGAAAAAAACGGATTTTATAACAACATCTTCATGGACGATTATCTGTGTTATCCCTCGGCTTGCCTTGAAACTCCAATTGTCGCCACCAGGACCTCCCCAAGGTCCTAATGAAATTACTGCTCCCAAGGACCCCTGACCACAAACCAAAGAGTAAGAACCCATGAGCATGCTAATGAGGGAAGAAAATGATGAAGATGATGATATAATGCCTACCATTTTGCTTGATTATTAGACTTGGAAATGAATTTGTTGATTGCTGAAGGACGGTATATATCTCGCTCTCCCTTTGTCAGGTCTATATATAGACATATACATTACAAGTGGAATGATGAAGGAAGACTACTAATTAATCCTGTTAGTTCCAGAACGAAACCATCTTATCTTGATTATATTGACTGATGATGAAAAACGTGTGTTATACTCTCATCGATTTTATTTATAAAATACTTATAGAAGTAATTTTTGATCTAAAATATAGGACACTTTATAATAATTAAACTCTTTTTTCTAAATTTATCTCTTCTTTATCAGCATGAATGTATTTAATGTAGTCGTATTATTATTTAAAGCTAAGGGTAAGAATGAAAGCACATCTCACTTTTTTATAATATTAAAAAAAATTAATTTTTTTTAAAATGTATGAAACAGTGGAGTAAAGTTTAATTAGTAGTAATCCTCGCCCATAATTAGCCACCGCGCGAGACAAATTAAAAGATTGTTCTTAGATTCTTAGTTATTACTGCGATTGGAAGTATTCAATTTAATCTTTCAACAAGGACATAATGGAAGTACGTGCTTAGGGATTGGACCGGTGCGATGTTATCTCTTTGGCATGTAACTAATTATTACATCGGCCATATTCAGATAAATCTCCTACCAACACGAATATACTTTAGCAAAAGCTGCTGCCTCTTCTCACAACGTCATTAATTTAAATACTCTCTGCCTAACTTATAAATACTACTAGGGAATATATAGACTTAAAAGAGGATCGCACGACAAGATGTATAGCTTTTTCTTTGAAAGAAACACTACCTCTTGAATATATATTTTTTAAAAAATAAAATAAAATAAAATATATGAGGTAGCGTTTCCTCAGAGCAAACACACGCTTAAGAGCATTTGCTATGATACTTGTTACTAAATGTGTGCTCCTAAATTTCATTTATGTAACAGTGCATGCATTACGTAATCCGAGAAAAATAACAGGAGAATGTCAATCAACGCCCAGGGAAAGCAACAGTCTATGAATTTGCATATCAATGTTAAACATATGTAGATATTTTATATATTTTAATTAAATTATATTATTTTAATCATAGTCCACCTAACATCGATCTTATCCCCGACCATCAAATATAACGTGCATAAGTTTAAATAATAAGCATTAATTCGACTGACTGGGAACCAACTGAGGAAGACAAAACCAAATCAAAGTAATATTGACAATTAAAAAAACGTGTATTATAATTAATTTTCTTAAGAAAATATTATAACTTCTAAAATCAAATTAAAGAGACTACAGTTTGAGTGCGACTTATTTTAACTTTAATACATGTATCCGTGATTATTTCAGACTCGAACCTTAAGCTACTAATTGTGAATTTTACAAGAATCGACTCTCCCATATGGAAAGGGATTTTTTTTAAAATAAAAAATTTACTTAGTCCAAAATATAAGGTATTAGATAATTGTTATAGCTTTTTTTTTTCAACTATAACTTTACTTCATTTATTATTTCTCTTAAAAAAATAATCTCTTGACATTTCAACGTTCATTATTATTAAAACATTATTATAGAACATTTAATTAGGGTATAATTGAAAAGATGTATACAATTTTTTAAAAATTAATGTTTCAACAAATTTTTTTAGAACTGGAAAATAATCACCCATATTCAATATTATTATATGTCAGAGATAATTTAAAGAACTACCACTGCAATCAAAACGTGAGGCGAATTCGAATTCTCGCAAGATAATAAGTGCTCATCATATAGCATTAGGACTAAAGCTAAAGTGTGAAATGGACGGTTACGCATGCATTGACTGCCGCTGTCTTAGAATGCAAAAAACAAAATATATCATATTTGCTAGGGTTAAAAACGTGGAATATAAATTAACTTGAGGTATGGGGCTAAAAGTTGTGTTAATTGAAACTGATCAATAATTGCATTGGAATTTGATCTATCTAATGGATATGAAATTTTCTAAGGTTTTAAAAATCGGATCGATCATTGAATCGGACAAGACATTGATTCAAGAATTGACGGTCAGATTGTGGTTGAACCAAGCATGACTAATTAATATATTTTTAATGTCATGTGATGTTATATTAAAGATTGAATTTTCTAAAATATATCTGAACTTATTTAATATATTTAAAAGCACTTATTCATTATGTATATAGAAATGATAAAGTATCAAGCACTTTTTGAAGATTTTTTAAAAGTAAGTTAATTATAATGAAGTTTAAAAAATACAGATAAATAATTTGAAGTATAGGGATTAATTATATGCGCTCACACTAAAGAAATAATTCAAGAAATAATTAAAATAACTCAACAAAAATTATGGGGGAAAAAAATGAAAGCGAAGAAGACAAAGTGCTGATGTTAAAACCCCCCGAGTCCCACATCGAAAGATAGCAAATTCTCCACTTAGATGATTGCCCGTAATATGACCGGAGGGTGTATGCGCAGAGGGCGCAGCGGGCGTTGGCATGGGGTTAGCTTGTCTAAATCCAAAGATCACAAGTCTTTACCCGTGTGAAAATTACAATTTTTGCCTTCTTTTTTTTTAAAAAAAAAGTTTAATCTGATTCATAAGCTTACAATTGATTTGCTTTTTATCTGTTAAGCTGGTTTTTACTTGGGGTTAGCCAGTTGTTGACTGGTTGGTCAACTATTCGGTTTAAGGGGATTGACCGGATCAGACTAGGAGTTGGTTTCTAATTCAATAGGTTTGGTCAGTCATTTAAAATGCTGAAATTTTCCAAATTTATAGATTAATATGCTGCAATTTTAATGTGTTAATGAGACAAAATGACAGTCTATGAATTTGTACATCAGTGCTAAAAAATCATAGTCAAATATAAATATTTTTTAGTTAAGTTATATTATTTTAATTATGACTAATTAGATATTAATTTTATCCTTAATCACTAAGGGAAAATGACAATTGCAGTTCCCATAGATACAATAATGATAATTTTAGACATTAAATTATTGAAATCCTATTAAAGTACTATGGTCGACCTTGCTTACAATTAAAAACATATTTGAGTTTGCAAAATTTCCCTTATAAAAAATGCAAAAAATAGTTGATCAAACATCAAACTTAGTTTTGAAATTTTGAAAAACCACTTGGAATTTATTGAAGAGTCAATTGTGAATATACGACAGTCAATTATGAATTTCAAACTAATCACTTATGAATTTTTGTATTTATTAATATATAAACAAATCATTTTATAAAATTAAGAGAAGCAACTTGTGCTTCTTAGAAAGGTAACTTTGGGAATTTACTATAGTCAATGTTGCATCCTAGAAATGACATATGAATTTTTGGTCAGCTAGTACATGTACTCGCTAAAAAGCCACTTGGGTTCAATGAGAGTTGATTCTGGATATGCAACAGTTAGTTTTGAATATCAAAACAATCATTTGTGATTTTTTGTTCTCAAAATTTAGTCAAACCGATTGGAGGAATTAAAGAAAACAACCTGTGATATGTTCTTAGGAAAGAAATTTGAGAATTGAAAAAATTGCATTCAAGCTTGACGTTTGAAGAATGTTATTTACAAACAATGACCAATAACAAGTCATTATTTGCTAAACAATAAGTCTATATTAACAATCCATTACTTATTAAACTTTATCTGTAAATAATATTTTTCAAAAGTTGTGAAAAAATTTGGAGGAGCAAATTATGAATCTTAATTCTATCATGTGAATATTTGGTCAATCAGTACATATACTCACCTATAAAATTTTGAAAAGCAAGGAATTGATGGAAAGTTAATTATGAACATAATAACAACTGCTCGTAAATCTCAAAACAATCATATGTAAATCTTATTTTACTCTTTTTATTTAACCAAAAACCCACTTAACAAAAAAATCCCTTCAAAATTGACAAATGGTGAAAGAGCACCACAAAGTGAGATAATTATTTTGAAATCCCAGGAGACTTATCAGTCATAAATTTTTTGCGAACATTTTTGACCATCTACAAAATCATAGAAAGTATAGTTGTTAAGACAAATTAAAGTTATTGCATGACTAAATTAAATTTAAGGAAAGCATAACTTTGAGTTTCTTTACTTTACTCACATTTTACTATAAGTCCCTGTATTTTTTTTTATATTTTAGGTCTCTATATTTTTATTTTTTGATGTTCTAAGTTACTAAATGAATAAAGTGTAAGGACTTTAGAAGGATTTAAGATGCCAAAAAATAAAAGTATAAGGATTTATAATATCAAAAAAAGTACATAAATATAAAGCAAAATACGATCAAAGTGCAAGAATTTAAAATTATATTTTTTCAATAATTTATTATTAGCTATGTTATTAATATTTAAACTAAGGTTTTTAATTACTAAGTTGACGTGGATATATAAAAATTGTACTTCTTGTTACATAATTAACCAAATAATTATATTTTTATATTAACAACTTTATTTTTGTTATTAACAACTTTTTAATTTAGATTTTAATAACTACACTTTTTATTATTTTGTTGAGGTTCAGAATCATAATTTTACAAAAAAAAAGATGTCAGATAAGCCTTAAGCACTCCAAAATAATTATTTCATTTTGAGGTATTTATTTATCGCTACTCTATTGAAGTTGGGGTGACCGTCATTCAAGGGGGAGGCGGCAGGCGGGCTATTTCCATTCCTTTTTTGAATTAATTTTTTAATCCAAAAAAGGACAAAAAAAAAATAAAGAAAGGATGTGAATAAAAATGATGATGACAAACGTGCATGAGTTTGAATTGTAAGTATTCGGCTAACTGGGACCCAATCTTTGATAGATTAAAAAACAAACGTGCATTATAACTAATTTTCTTAAAAAAAATTATAAATTTTAAAATCAAATACAATATGAGTGTGACTTACTTTAACACATGTATCCGTAATTATTTGAGACTCAAACATTAATTAAGCTACTCATTGTGGATTTTATTACAAGAATCCAAGAAATAAAAAAGAATAACAATAGAGCAAGTGTCATAATTCCTCCGTCTTAAATTGTAAGCTGCTTTTGGATAAAAATCACACATAATGACAAAACTCATTAAATGTATTTTATAACTCTATTTTATTCAAAATAAAAATATAAAATTTT